ATTGTCTGCGTCTACCTGCACGTGTGTTTTGTTTGCTTGTCTACTCATAACCGGATATGAATGTTGTATACGAATGCTCATTTGTGTGAAAAAATATATGTGATAGGGACGAAAGGAAAGGACATCTTGATTATTAAAAAGTGATAGTATGGGCAGACTAATTGAAACATGGGACTCGAAACACATTAGGGTTTGTTTGGTTCTCGATCAATAGACAACGTTTTTGGCTTTGAACACGCAGCACACTTTTATTGATAATTGGAATCGCTGTAAAAAGCCATCTAATTGAGCACATATACCACAAAGATTAGGTTTAAGTAAGTATTCTGTGGCGAAACGGAGTGTCAAATTACTCCGCAAAAATGACTTTATTGGAATCAGTTTATCTGTGGATTGTATTATTAGCTATCGCGTTATAATTGGTTTTGTTCCCATCTTGTTTTTTACCTTCTTCCTTACTTTACCCACCTCAATTTATTCCGCTTAGAGGAGCATTCTTATTACCCTGAAGCGAGGAACATATTAATAATATCTGTTTGTGGTGTAAATGAATAGCCGATAATGTCTTTACTTGCTAACAAAGTAATTATTTTATCTAGTATATAAAAACCATTGAATATAATTGGTTGATCTCTCGAAACGTTTACTTCATGTGTTTTCCCTTCTCTGTAATTGATTATCTTCATTTGTACCCGACTTGCTTCCTTTGCATTCCCGTTGGCACCATGTTCCTTCTCAAACCAGTCCTGCGTATACGTGAACACATGTATACTTATATATGTGTGTATATATTAGACACAAATATCTAATTTGTAATGTGATTTGTTTAGCATAGAGTATGGACTCGGTTATACGAGAATGAACTAGTATGATAATGTCCCGTTTCAAAATCATTAGTGTTTCGAAATTCCGAATTAGTCTTTAAAGCAGTTAAAGACCAGTATTGCTCGGGGGTGCTAGAAAAGATAATGAACACATGTCGTGTTTGCTTTTTTGGCGGAAGAATCGGAGTAAATAGTCAAAATCACAAGGACAAAACTAACTATCAAAAGTTAAGCGTTTGTGCACCTGGTAGCACCTATACGCTTGTCGTCACCCCGTTCCTAAACGATGATTGTACAAGTAAAAAAACGTATATTTTTCTATATTACCACTATCCGCAATAGGAAAGAGAGACTTGAAGCATCGTTCAGTCTCTTCATCATGAGCGATGGTGGTCAGTGTGTTCCCGGTGTTCAAATCCTGTTCCTACCGTATAACTTAGTAGTTTTGAAATACCAAGGTAGCATTTTACTGACCGCAGCCCTTCATCCTCAGTCTAAAATTGACTTTACGATTATGTACTCAACAATACTAGGGAATTTAAACATAATAGGACAGTTAGTGCGAATGAAAATTTCACTCAAAAGCTATTCTATATTAATTTCAACAACATTGTGCTCCATAAATCTAATGATTTCTTCATCTTATGGGTAACATCTGTTTTATATTTTTGTATCACCGGATTGTTAGTAAGCGTTATTAGTATCTAATTTTGTCATTAATAATCGAGCAACCAATTTTCGCCGGACGAATGGCGTATTCAGCCAACAACTAAAGGATCAAACGTTTGTGTGCAATGTCCAAAACCTTGCATATAAACTTTCTCAAACATTGTTGGATACACACGTGAACGCTTCTTGGTGGGTGTAATTATTTTCTGGTTTTAACTGTGAAACTCTTTATGGTACCCCACATGTGCATTTCGTTGAAATTATTATATTATATTGTATTCAAGCTTTAGCGAGTTATATATACAAGCTTTCAGCCACAAAATAGACCACCGTTACAATTCTGGTTAAAACGGGGGAGAAAAGTGGGATGTGAAAACGTACAAAGGTATGA